GTAGAAGAGATTGTTAGTGTAATGCTTTCTCTCACACAGGTTTTATTTATTTATTTTTTACTTTGATCTTTTCATGAGGGCTCATAAATAAAAGGCCTCAGCTTTCTCCTGATTCTCACCATTATCCGTAAATGCCACATCTAAAACTTTATCCATCATTTGAGGATGTTTTAGAAAGTTAGGTCTCACTAAATCATTAGAAACTGCAAATGTGCCTGATGTCAGTGAGATGGATTCCGAAACACACAAACTTCTGTTTTCATCTTATCCTCCCTTTTATCCGTTGTCTCATTGTCAACAGAACATCCTGCTGGTTCAGAGGCAGATGTCCGTGATTGATGACGAACTAGAAAGCTTCCGGAAAGTTCTCCATAGCTACATGGATGCCACTTTAGCCCACTCTGACAACTTGCAGTGAGTATCTAGCTTGATTCCAAATATAGAAATTCATCTATTAAACCCAACTTCAGATTCAGCTCCAGATGCTGCGATTCAACCCCTGAGTGATGCTGAATAAGTGGCTAAATTGATAGGAACATAAAAAATGAGTTTTTACAATGAAAAAATTAAACCTTACATTGTTTGAAAAAAATGTATCTTACAAAATAGATATTTTTTACAATCTAATTGTTATTATTTTTTTATCTTACATACTAAAAGCAAAGAAATAAAAAATTAACAAGTACAGAAAGTACATATTTGAACTAATACTTCCCTAAAGCACTTTTTGATTCAAACTCCTTGATCAGTTTAAGTTTACACACACATTTTACTTGAAATCATTGTACTCTCTAACTTGAACAAGTTTCCTGATTTATCAGATTATGAGATCATCTGTAGTCAACATTCTTCTTAAAGGTATAGTGGAGGATTTTGGCAATTTTTTTTTAAGACCTGCCCTCTCCACTTAAAAATGCACATGCTCAACCCTGTACCCGCTTGCGACAGGGAACGCCTATTAAATGCATGCAAGAGCCCATTTAGTAGCTCCAAGCCAAGGAGGTGCGGGGAAGTAATGATAAGATGGTCACTCGGATGGATCTCATCTCACCCATATTTACATATAAAAAGTTTCCCCGCAAATAAGACTAATGTAACATTAACAGAATAAGACTTGCAGCTGAAAGAGCACATGCACAGAAAAAGATAGCTACCTACTGTATGGGGACAAGCACATACTGTAGGACAGCCTTTCGTAAACATATTACCAGAATGATTTACAATGAGGAGGACCACTTATTTAGATGATCCACCCAGAAAAATAAAATCCCCCACTACACCGTTAAGGTGACATTAATCTTTTAGATTCTATTTTAGACTGAAAATGAAATTTCTCATCTTCCTCCACATACTGGCAGACCCATAACCCATAACTGACAAGTTTTTAAGAATCGTTTTTAGCTTTATCAACCTTGTCATGTTGCCATTACCAACTTTTAATATGGATTTGATGTTTGGTAATGTGTAATGTTCTTTTGCACCAAACATATCTAATGAAACTATGAAAGGTCATGTATGGTTTAATCAGTCTATTAAAAAAATAGACTATTAAAAAACAAACTTTAGCCTGGCTTGGACCTTTTTGGATCCAATCTTTCCTGTAAATTTTATCCTTGTCAAGAAATATGGTAAAACAAGATAGTTGCTGACTCTTCCAGGTCAAGACAACTACAACATGTTAAAATGGAAGTAAAGTTTACAAAATCAATCATTGTTTTGTAAATATTTCAATATGATATCCAGGAGTCAGTTAATTATGGAGACTGAAAGCTGAATAACCCAGAATTTGTGAACTTTTGCCTTTAAGCACACAGAGGTGCATCCGTATCATAGTACTCCAAGTTGGATGCAAATCAGTACATTTTTGTTATATCTGGAGTACAACACATACTGGTTGGAAATACCTGAGCTGCACCTACCTCAACTGGTTGTTGGCCTCTTAGCATTCTTCACGATTCTTTGTCTTCTCAGCGGCAATTATGAAAAAATGTCCAATGTACCTGATCTCTGTGTTGTTTCACATATTCTCAGATTCGTTCTAACTTCCTTCACTTTGCACCCTTCTACTCGGATTCATTGCTGAGATATCTTTAATCCTTTGTAACCTTTTACAAAGAATGGATTTAGATAAAGGATACAAATGACTAAATGTCAAGAAAATCCTGCAAGGACTGCTGAAAGCTGTAACTGTATCAGAAGTTTCAGTTTCAAGATTTAAACATTTTTGCAACCAGGCTGTGAAAGCATTTTTTAAATATATCTATTTTTGTAGTATGTTTTTCATTTGATTTACAAAGGATAAAATATCAAATTATATTGAAAAAAAAATATTTATTCATATATAGTTTTATAATTATTTCCGTTTTTAAATCCCCAAATCCTGGAAATGTTTAGAATTTTTTTTTTTTACTCTTTCCATATAAATTACTGAAAGTAAGCATTTGTTACCAACTAAAACACAATTTCAGTTTCGTTTGATGTTTTGCCTCTGCCTTTGCCTAAAGCTAGCTTATATTCCTCTCAAGATGCAACTCGCTTTTCTTTTATTTTCCCTTTCTTTGACCCAATCTACTTTTTTCCTTCAGTGTGTCTGTTCAGAAGCTCCCGGGAAAGACGTGTTACATAATGTATGAGTTCTGGCAGGACCGCATCTCCTGGATGAGGTTAGTATGGGGTGTGTGTGTGTTTGTGTGCGTGTTGGGCTGTGTATGAGTTTTGTGCTATAGATATTGGCTCACTATTTGGCACTTCTGATTTCTTGATGGAAATGTTCACTCAAGAGAGAAGATGAGCAGATGGCCCATCACTCTGTTCACACACACAAAATCAAACACACACACAGAAACAAAGGTAAATCTAAAATGGTGTCAAAGGATATTTAACATACTACACTGATTTGTCGAGCTTTGATGTAAGTGTGATATATATATATATATATATATATATATATATATATA